ACCCTGGGCACTGCAGCCAAGGAGAATGCTACTGTTATGGGCAGTGACATCAAGTGTACAGGTTGCACTGAAGGACAGATTTCTCCAGAAGCCAACATCCTGGCTCCCTCCCTTCAGCAGGTCCACCTCCTGCAAGCACTAGCCAAGACTTTCAGCCAGTGCTGCTGAGCTCTGATCTACCCTATCAGCTTCTAGGTTAGCAGTCTAGAGGGCTATGCTGGTTTCTACTGCCTTCTGGATAGCAGTGACCTCTCCTGCACCAGAGAGCTCATTACCAGTCAGGGGCCCTAAGGCAGCCTCTCCTGACGGCAGGTGAAGATGAAAGCAATAATGTGCTAGCTGTTCTGAAGCCCCTGGTCACCCATGGTTTTATTGAAGTCCAAAGTCTCAAACACCTCTAATGAGGATAAAAGGCTGGTAAGCCATGTGGGATCTGACTGAAACCTCCTGAGAGAGGTAGTTCAGAGAGAGGACCTGGTGAGGGCTGAGCTGGGGCCTCGCTTTCCAGAGACAGTGACTACCAGGAGTTGCTGACCCTCTCTGTTTGCTTAGCTCTCATCTCTTATTTACTCAGAATTAACCTGCTTATTTTCCCTCATTAAATAATCCTGTCCTCTGCTGCTTGTACGTGCAGGAGAACAGTGAACCAAGAGCTGCTAACTTGCCACCAGGCCCCGTGAGGGCCAGCCACTCCCCGAGGAAGCCTCCAGAGCCAGGCTTTTGTCTTCTGGCCCTGGTTTCCTCCCTGCCTCCAGGTCATAGTGGGATCTTGGGCCAGTCCTTTTACCCGGCTGTGCCCATGGATGGAGAGTGCAGTTCACTTTTGGGTGCAGGGGCCACACCACACTGCAGACTCAGCACCTGCATGTCGCCAGCTGCCACAGTCCTGTGAGAAAGAGCAGGCGTCCTGCAAAAACCAGGAGGTCTGCGGTTCACTGCTCCCCTGGAGGGAGCCATCCTTGACAGCAGTTCATAGAGCCTGGGGCGATGCTGTTTACCCTGAGGGACCTCTCATACCCCGAGGCAAGCCTCCCAGGTCCATAACGAATAAACTCAGACTCCCCCAAAAGAGACAGCCTGTGAAAGTGCAGGCAACTCCGCATCTGTAGGACATGGTGGTGGGGAAATGGGGACAGCAGCCTTTTGTTCGCTCCCTCTCAGGGGGGCCACAGGAGCTTCCAGAGTTCTTCCCAGGGCCCTGACTCGATCATAACACTGCGCGAAGAACCACTCCTTCCAGAGTTCTTTTACTAACATGTAAGCGCCCCTTTCTGCGAGCATTTCTGTAGCTGCTTTTGTGTCCTTCTGGGCACGCTGAAGCACAAGCAGGTGCAAGGCAAGGACCCTGTCACAAAAGGAGCTCTTGTCACTAGATGCTGGGGGACACAGCTACAGGGAAAAGGAGACTTGGTGACTCCTGTGAGCTGTTCGAGGACAGGAAGCCTGCAGGGGTGTTGAGGAGAGATGCTCACTGTGGCCTGGACCCTGGGCGAGGGTCCATGGGGGTGTGGTGTGGGGACGTGATGTAGGTATAGGAGTATCCAAGCCAAGAGGAGAAGGGGAGGCATTTTGGCAAAAAGGACCAAAGATATACCAGCCATGTGGAGCGGAGGGTTGGCATAGAGAAGGGAGAGAGCAGCAGGTGAGGAGGTAAGACAGGGCCCAGTTGCTGAAAGCCCCAAGTGCAAGAAGATGAGCCTTGATCCCAGAAGCCAAACAAGGGGAGCCACTGAAGGTGTTTGAGCAGTGGCACTGATATATGAAAATCTCGCACCAAAGCGCTCATTAGTCACTCAGCCTTGGGCCAGTTATTTAACTTCACCAAACATGAATTTTCTCCTGTGTGCAATAGGGATGATGAGAGAGAGAGCACCTACTTCATAGGGCTGAGGTAAGACTCACCAAGATAGTCTAGCCAAGTACTTAGCAGAGGCCTGGCACACAGTCCATGTGCAATGGGTTGGTTCCTAGTACTATGCTCACTGAATCTAAAGGGTTTCAGTAACTTGGGGCTTGAGAGGTTATTAAGGGAAATAAAGGGGCTTCTCTTTATACCTCGGTGCCTCTGTGAGACATGGAATATTTAGCCAGATGTGATGCTGATCTGCCCGCTGCCGCAGGACCCATGCCAGGGCACGGGGCACTTGCTGTGTGTGTCTCTTTTGACTAGGGGTCTAGGGAGCCAGGAGATGCACCTGAGCAAGATGGGGACTCCAGCACCTTCTTTTAACTGGTTACGCCCCACTAGACCATCTGCATTTCGAGAGTGGGGACTGCATACCCTCCACAAAGCATGGTGCCTCTGGCAGGCACTCTGTAAATACGAATGGAAACACAAATGAACAAGTGGATGGAGTGTACGCCAAGGTGCAGAAGGGTGAGGGTTCCCCTGAGCAGCTTCCTAGGTGAGCTGGAAGGGCATTGCTCAAAAGTGGAGTGCAAGGACCACTCTCCCGAGAGTCACGAGTCCAGGCAGCTGGCAAGGTTTATAAACCTGAGCAAGTTCTTCGTCTGTGAAATGGAGGGGAAAATGCCAACAAGCCTGCCTCACAGAGTTGCTGAGAGCCTCACAGCTGGAAGTGATCTTCATGGAGGCGCTCCACAGGGGCTGGTGTGGGATGGCTGGCTCTGTGGAGGCCACGGGGTTCTGTGTGCAGGAGGGGTGGCTGTCTCCACAGTGTGCCCAGCCCTGGCCCCAGCCAGGCCCTTCTTGGGAAGCTGGGGGTATTCACCTGCTGTTCCTAGAATTTGGTTTGGGGGGTGACTTTATTTCGGGGGTGTGGACAAAAAGACAAATCTGGGGCTAGGAAAGCGGTGGGGTGTCAGGGCTGCCTAGAGGAGAGTGTGGTGAGCACAGGCTCTGGAGGTAGGGGAGACAGGGCCTTGGCTTATTCTCCAAGGGGACCAGGCTGTCGGGGTCTCCAGGAGAGGGTGGCTCTTTGCAAGGAGAATGGACCAAAACTCTGGTGTCACCCTCAACTCTTCTCTTTCCCGGAAGTCATTACCTCCTTAGAGAGGCCTTCTCTGGCTAAAAATTCAACAACTATAGCCTCCTGCTGGTCATTTTATATTCCCCTTCTCTGCCTTTTGTTCTCCTTGATACTTTTGACTAACTTATGTACTTACCTCTTTTATTGTCCTTTGCCCTAATAAAATGTAAGCTCCACTCGTAAAGATGACAACAATAGACACTGGGAACTACTAGAGTTGGGAGGGAGGGAGGGGGCAAGGTTTGAAAAACTAACTGTTGGGTGCTATGCTCACTACCTGGGTGGCAGGATCATCTGTACCCCAAACCTCAGCATCACGCAGTATACCCATGTTACAAACCTGTACATGTACCCTCTGAATCTGAATCTAAAATAAAAGTTGAAATTATTTTTTTAAGTTGAAATGTATTTTTTAAGTTCCAGGAAGGCAGGGGTTTTTGTCTGTTTTGTTCTCTCCTCTATCCTTAGCACTCAGATCAACACTTAGCACATAGCAGGTGACCAATAAATATTTGTTGACTGACTGAATTACTGGATGGATGGATGGATGGATGGATGGATGGATGGATGGATGGATGGGTGGGTGGGTGGGTGGGTGGATGGATGGATGGGTGGGTGGATGGATGGATGGATGGGTGGATGGATGGGTGGATGGGTGGATGGATGGGTGGATGGGTGGGTGGATGGGTGGATGGGTGGATGGATGGATGGGTGGATGGATGGATGGATGGATGGGTGGATGGATGGATGGGTGGGTGGGTGGGTGGGTGGATGGATGGATGGATGGGTGGGTGGGTGGGTGGGTGGGTGGATGGGTGGATGGGTGGATGGGTGGATGGATGGATGGATGGATGGGTGGGTGGGTGAATGGATGGATGGGTGGGTGGATGGATGGATGGGAGGGTGGGTGGGTGGATGGATGGATGGATGGGTGGATGGGTGGATGGGTGGATGGGTGGGTGGGTGGGTGGATGGATGGATGGATGGGTGGATGGATGGATGGGTGGGTAGGTGGATGGATGGATGGATGGATGGATGGATGGATGGATGGATGGGTGGATGGATGGCCTCATCTGAAATCACCCCAAACCCTGATCTCTTCCTCCTCAAACCTGACTCTGGGAGCCCTATGAGAGAAAACCTCTCCGTATCTTGGAGCTCCTCCTCAAACCTGCGGGAGGAGGCTTCACCATGACAGCGCCCTCCTTCATCAAATGGAGGAAGCAACCTGGCAAGGCACTGTTTAATGCCACACATGGGTGTGCTTACTGTCTTTGAGGTTTTCCTATTCTCTCAGAAACTTCCAGGAATCCCTGGCCACGATGATTCTGGGGGCAGGAGAGGCAGCAGAGCGTGTGCTCTGTAGCTGGGTTTATTTTTAAAGGATGACCACATTTAAGGAGAAAACAGAAAGTGGACCTGAGGCCTAGCATCAAACACTTGCCATCAGATGGGGTGCCAGGTGTTTGTCTCCTTGGTTGGCTGTGATTGACAAAGAATTACTGCACTGAGGGGCAGAAGCAGAAAAGAATCATAGACCTGCTGGGAGAGGGGACACTTGAAGACTAGAGCATGTGTCTTGTCCAGGACACTGTCATGACCACATGCCTGGATGGGCAGGAAGTCAAGGGGGTCAGTGACTGAGAAGGGTGAGCTGGAGGAGAACAGGAAGAGGCCATAAAGGGGCTGGTGGTTGGAGGCTGAAGCCAAGGGGCACACAGAGAGCAAGTCAGGCCAAAGGCAGAATGGCAAGGACCAGGGTCAGAATGTGGTTGACATTGAGAGGGAATGTTGGAAGGGGCAAATTGTACTGAAGAGGCAATATTGTTTCCATTGCCTTTTATACCCGGTTACTCGCAGCAAGGAGGCCAGTCCCTTAGTCTTAAAAACAGAGCACTGTGTCTCCAAGAGCCTCCTCCTGACCCCAGAGAGCCCCAACAGATGCTGCACAGGACATGAGGCCCGTGGTCTGCAAGCCCCTCATCTGCCCTCTTGTCTGCTTCTTTGCAGGAAAGCGTGGACTTGGGAGAGATCATGTTCTCCCTTTGCTACCTGCCCACAGCAGGCAGGCTCACCCTCACGGTGATTAAGTGTCGGAACCTCAAGGCGATGGACATCACAGGCTATTCAGGTACTTCTCTTAACCCGAGTGGCCTGCCAGCAGCCCAGACATTAGGATTTGGAAGGGTGTTCAGGGAGAAGGGGAAAGAATTATCAGCATTCTTAGAATAGAAGCACCAGCTCTGGATGCAAACTGCCTGGATTCGAACTCCAGTTCTGCCATGTCTTTGCTGTGTAAATGCTTTGGTTTTCTAGTCTGAAAAGTGGGAATAACAATATCTTATATGGGTTGCTTTCAGGAGAAATGAGTTAATTCATGTAAATGTTCAGAATGGTGTCTTACACGTATAAGCACTCAGTAGATATCATCTATTGCTGTCATTCTTTCTCTTAGAAGAGGGAGATAATAAGAATTAAATATACAGGATTTAAACCTTAAGGATAAGTTTTCTTATTTATATGAGGCCCCAGGACTTCCGGAAGGGTTATGTCAAGTTTGAGCGTGTAAATGTTTGCCGGTCTGTGCAGGCTTATGGCAGCAATTCTGTGCACTGAGCCAAGGAAACAAATCCACTGAAAAGCAAAATGCATTTGTATTTGAGGCTTTACTGCAGGCCTCCTGGCCTCAGCCTCAGCACCAAGAAAGCTGCTAGGTACAGCAGGAACATAGAAATATAGTCCTATTCTAGTGACAGAGGAAATGCTTGTTTGGGGGCGGCTGCACAGCAACCTGCAGGATGGACGTAGTGTCAGAGGTTTGAGTCTTCCCCTACAATTCTGCAATTGTGGAAGGAGGTATTTGAGTTTGGAAACAACAGAGGAGTAACTTGAGTCTTGGGAGCCTCCTTCCCTCATCAACTCAGACTGCTCTGAGGAGTGAAATGGGGTGAAGCCTCTCAGTCTGGGCTGCACTCAGAATTGCAAATGTGGAAAAAAGCTCAGTTTGTTTCCCTAGATCCCCTGCCCTCCTGCTCGAGAGACTCTCGATGATTCAGATTACCAACGTAAAACCACTGAGGAGTTGCTTCTGAACTTAGCTGGGAATATATTAAAGAGTTTTCCTCATATTTGCTTTGTATTCTTTATTTATTTGCTGGAAAACCCCTAAGTTGTGGAAGAAGGTATTTGAGTTTGGAAATAACAGAGGAGTAGCTTGAGTCTTGGGTATAATCAGTTGCTGGAAAGAGGTGATGGCTGAGCCAGAAACACCTGGGCTCAGGTGTAACCTGGTGCAGCTGGAAGAAGAGGAGGTATCAGGCCTTGAAAACTGAAGTTTCAGGATAAGGTGGTCAGGAAACCCTAGAGTAACAAGTGTTTGTTGCAGCTCTGAGTCCCTCAGAGCTTCCCACACACATCAGGACGTAGGGAAGAGATTAACAGACCTCTTCTGGCCTGGGAAAAGCTTAGGCAGCAGCAAGTCAGCTTCCCCTAAAGTACAGCCAATGTAGATTTCATTTTAATACCAAAATAAGTGCATAACAGGGAAGAAAATTCACTGAAGACTCTCAAGGCTGCTGAGGGAAATAGGATTTTGCTGCCTAAGTCCCCACACTCTCTTCTCTGGCGTAATTAAATTGATGTGCTGGAGAGAAAGCCTATGGTGAAGCTGCTGAGGTCATCACAAAAGCTGCTCTGAATCAGAGAGTTTGGGGTGTGAGATTTTTTTCATGCTAATTTCTAACCTACCTTTCACAATTGCCCCTCTTTTTGACCTGGGTTTGGAACCTGTTATTAAACCTTGGCTTGATTCTGAAGATCCAGGGGTCCTCTTTTCATTACAGGTTTCTGTCTATTTTGTTCATTGATGTAAGCAAGTATCTGGAACAGTGGATAAAACACAGTAAGCATTCAATAAATAGATATCGAAAGAATGGATGGTTGAATTTACAGCATGAGGAACCTGGTCCAAGGGTGAAGCAGTGGGGGTGTACTGGCTAGGAGCCTCTCGAACTAGATCTCCTGTTCTTGAGGATGAGTTTGAGGTTGCCCTCAGCCCAGACTTATTTGATGTTGAACTAAGCTGGGGAGTGAATGGAGCTTATTAATTGCCTATTCTTGAATTGTGTGGCATTGACGTCTAAAACCCAGGATCTTCTTGTTCTCCATGATCTAAACTAGCCCTGAATCAATTCTCAAAGCCTATCTGCTAGAACCATGACACTAAAAATAGCACAAAATAATAATAAGGACCAGTATGCTACAAAGGGGTGGTGAGTGCATTCTAAATGCTGAATTTTGATGGCTCCCATGACAATGAGGCTGAAATACACTGCTGGTCTTTGTGTCCCCTCCCTCAGCTGCATAGAGCATCATAGGCTGTTAGAGAGGAAAGGACCTCCAAGATCATCTGGGGCCAGCATTCCACTAGAAACCACGGATTTTTGCCCCAGAAAAGCCTAGGGAACGGTCATCTGTCTGCTTGGCTTCATGGATGCTGGTGAAAGTGTGGGTTCCTGCAAGGGAAATATGTACGCTGAATTTTATAAATTTCCTATCAGCCAGGCACAGTGGCTCATGCCTGTAATCCCAGCTACTCAGGAGGCTTAGGTGGAAGAATCACTTAAGCCCAGGAGTTCAAGACCAGACTGGGCAAAACAGCAAGACCCTGTCTCTTAAAAAAAATGCATATGCCTTGTAGGGGTGAACAGAGTTGGGGAAGTTTGCTAAGGCATTTGCTCAGTGGCCCATGGGACAAGTGGCTCTGCCTCTATTTTTCCAAGCCTCACGATATGGAAATCTGCTCTGATGTGGGAATGTATGGAAATAGGTAGAGCAGGGGAATGAGGCAGCACCTGAGCAACCTCAAGTCTGGAGCCACTTTGCAAGGCAAGATACATCCTTATGGATTCTGCAAGCTGCTGTGTTAAAGACAGGTCTTGGGGCTAGCTCTACCCATCTGTCTACCTGAACCTGAATAATGTCCTGGGGCATATCCACAGAGAATGGAATCTGTGGAAAGCAGAGCCTCATGCCAGTTCTCAAAACTCTTACTTCCTTTATACTGAAAATCCCCGAGAGAGGATCCTTTCAAATGTGTAGTTAGAGAAGCAGGTTGATTAAACACCTCATGGTCTCCCCATCAACCCAACCTCATGTCCCCACAGTTAAGGCATAGCTACTGCTGCCACATGGATTAGTTGGCAGCTCATTTAGGTGTCTACAGAAATGCCTTTCAGGCTTGGGGTTTCTGATCAGGTGTCACAGTTCTTCCTCGTTTCCACCATGGATGTGTGCCTCATCTGAATGATGCCAGGGAGTACAGGGCCCTAGTCGGTGCTCAGTGTCCAGGAGATAGAACCACATGCCTATGAATCACAGAGCTGGGAAGCAGCTGCTTGGCTGGCACTTCCTGACAGATTCACAGGAGCCCTGGCTTCTGGGCAACAAGGTGTCTCAGCACATCAGTGTCTCGAAAACTATTATTACCTGTGAGCTGCCCTCCCATTTCTTGAGCTGTGCAGCATAAATAATTATGATGGTGACCGAGACACCTGCGCTATGAGATACAATAGGTATCACTTCACTTGAGTGAGTAGAAAATTTCAGGGTAGAAAGATGGCCATGAAATACCCATTCAGAAAACTAAAGAAAACAAAAGGATGGGAGGCACATGGAAGTTCAATAAAAGCATCTCTTTGCAGGATGGAGAGAATCCAAGATCCCACTGAGAAAGGAAATGTCAACCAGCTGCCCTGAGTCTCCCCGGGCCACAGCTCCCTCCTCCTCCACTGCCCAGAAGTGGGCAGGAAACGGCTTCCAGGGAAGCAGAGAGCAGGGCCACTTCCCGCCTTCTAGATGCCAAATGGAAATGAGATTATTGAGACAATGGGACCCAAAATTATGTTCTCAGGTGGGGAGGACATGAACAGCATCGTGATTGTTGCTGTTCATTTCACTCTGACACATTGTGTCTCCTTGGCCATTGTTGAGTCCTATTTTTACCCTGCCCCAAAACTTTTATCCTTTGGTTTATAATTCTGAAAAAACAAAAAAGTCACTCAAGGAAAAGCACTCCTCATAGGTGAAAGAAATAGTGTCATTGTTCAGCCTCATCACCCTTTTGAGTCAGCCAGTGATTGACGAGCTGAGATTTAGGGCTGTGAACTGCATACCTGTCGGCAGGTGCCACGTCTGATTTGGGGCCAGCTTCCCCATTAGTAAAAGTCCATTAGGCGCTCTCCCAAGAGTACTGAGGTAGCTAAAGACTCTGCATTTATTAAGCACAGAGTGTCCTCAGAGACAGGTGTGCTACATAAATACAAGGTGGTTTAATTATTTTAACAACCCACTGATACCATCTGATGAGCAGCAGTAGGTCTAGGGCTTCAGTCCCTTTGCTGCAAATGATGTTTGCAGACATCTGTTAACACACTCCATTCCCTTTCCTCTGTCCCCATTGGCACAGATCCCTATGTCAAAGTGTCCCTGCTTTGTGATGGGCGGAGGCTGAAGAAGAAGAAAACAACCATAAAGAAAAACACACTCAATCCTGTCTACAATGAGGCCATCATCTTTGACATTCCCCCGGAAAACATGGATCAAGTCAGCCTGCTCATCTCAGTCATGGACTATGATCGGTAGGTGGGCGTCCCAGAAGGATGTGATTCCACCCCTCACTCCCACTCCAGCACCAGCACAGAGCTCCTTGACCTTGTGATTCAGGGCTCAGCTTCGGGGTTCAGGCCTCAACTCTATCTGTACCCAAGAAGGGTACAGGAGTTTGAGGAAGATCATGGATTCTCCCTTAGCAAAGGTTCAAAGTTCTTTTCCCAACTGGCCTATTTCCATCAGGGGCGGCTCTATCCATCAGTTTCCCTGAATTCACCCCTTGCTATTCCCATTCTTCCATCTGGCACCAAGTCCTGTTATCTGGCCTTCGAAATGCCCCTCTATCCTCTCTATTTCTGCTGTTGCTACTACTGTCACCCTGGGATGGCTGTGCAGCCTCCTAACTGACCCCTGCCTCCATCGATTCCTGCCCCAATTCGGTCAACATACTAGGCACACATCTTCCTAAATGACAGCTTTCTTCCTGGACCCGCCCTTCTAAAGAACCATCAGTGGCTCCTGTGATCCAGGCTTTTCCCTTGGACTCTCACGGCCTTCCCTCATCTGGAACCAGCATATCCATCCAGTCGGATCTCCCCTCTCTCAGATATTTTTCTTCTCTTCCACACCTCCTGCTTTTCCATCTAGGCTGGCTCAGAAACATTTCTCAACTGCTCCAGCCCCTATAACTCCTTCTCTCCAGTTGTCACTTTAGCTAAAGAAGAAAGAAACCATGCAATAAAGCCTCAATACAGGACTTTTAGCCCAAGTTCTCAGGCATAGTATTGACAAACATACCTAAGGGATAATTGATGTTCTTACCTAGTGAATAAATCACATTCCAGCCACGGGGGTTTTGGAGAAATGGTGCTCAGAGACGGTCGATTTATTTGCAAATACTGATGTCTCAGTGAGGTTGTAATGTGTTGGCAGGGTCAAATAAGTGAAGAGACTTAGACTCTCTCACCTCCCAAACTCAGGCTGTCTGCCCACCATTTCTTGAGATTCCAAACAGGTTTATAACCTTTGCTTATCTGCCTGTGTCCAGTGTCCACTGAAGGGGACTAGGCAAAGGCTTCACTGCCACTGACACCCAGAAGCCCTGCCAAGCATCTGTTTCCAGAGCTCAGAGTTCTGAGTTAGACCCATTGGGCAGAGTCCTACCATGCACCCCCCTCCCCCCACCCGCGCTGGACCTCCTTGTCTGAAGGCATGTCTGGTAGCCAATGCTGGGACTTTTGTTTCTCCCTCAGAGTGGGCCACAATGAGATCATAGGAGTCTGTCGTGTAGGGATCAATGCCGAAGGCCTGGGTAGGGACCACTGGAACGAGATGCTGGCATACCCCCGGAAGCCCATCGCACACTGGCACTCCTTGGTGGAGGTAAAGAAATCCTTCAAAGAGGTGGGTGAGGTCGCCTGGCCCTTGGCATGTTTGCTGCATGGCAGTGTGGGCTGGAGAATGGCAGTCGGCTGCAGTGACACCTTCAGCCTTTTGTGGAAAGGTGGGCATGGGGGCCACATGCTTCTTACCCAGCGTGTAATAGGCCAAAAGGAAACAGAGGAAAAAGGTGGAGGCCACCGACACAAAGCCTCTGGTGTTGGGCATTTTGAAAGCAACACTGAGTTCGTAATGGAAAGCAAGAACTTTGAAGAAGACTTCCCAGCAGAGCACTGTGCCAGGCCTGAAATGCTTTCACAAAGCCCTTGGCCAAGTTGGTCCTTTAGGAGAAAGCCCCAAGCGGGTGAGATCACAGCTTGGCAAGACATTCTACCCCTGTCAGAACAGTAAGTTCCCTGAGGCTCAAGCGAGGCAGTCACTTGGCAGTTTTCACTGCTTGGATGGAGGTGCCAAAGAGCAGATTCCTCCTCTTATGAATGTTGGTTCTCGCCCTTGTTGGGGAAGGGAGCATGACCTCAAGGTGTCAGGCTTTCTGGCTAAAGCTGTGGAGCTGGGTTGCGTTGGGTTCTAACAGAGACGTAATGGAGAGAGCACTGGGCTGGGAGTCCCGAGACTTGGGCTCCAATCTTGGCCCCTCCTGACTTACTGTATAATCTTGACCCTGTCACTTCTCCCTCAACTGCAAAGAAAATATACCTTTGAGTGATATCTGCAAACTTCTCCACCCTCCACTGAATCCCACTGACTTAGGATCCTGTATTCTATCACCCTGGTGGTCCCCAGGCCTGCTTTTTCTCAAATGGATTGGAAGTGTGGGTGACCAAACAAGGCTTAAAACTCACTCACAGTATCTCATGCCTTGGTCTGTATCCTAGAAAGCTGGGTGAATATTCTGTCATCTTAACAGGCTTCAAACCTAACAAGTCTAGAGAGCTGTATAAATTGGAAATTCTACTAATACAAAATAAAGCTTTATCCTTTTCACTGCATGGCCCCTCAGCTTAAAATCGGAGTCACCTTCAAAACAGAGTCATCCCCTCCCCACACTCTATGATGCAGAGAAGTCAGGTCGGCAAACCTAGAGAACCCACCGGCTCCCTGCCCTCTCATGGAGGACAAGCCCATTTCCAGCTGTTTCTGGCAGGGTGAGGTGTCTCAGGAGAGCCTGAGAGCCAAGGGGACTGGACCTGTGGAAACACGGGTGATAGGGACCTCGGTTGGTGAGGGGGCAGGCTAATTGATTCACCTCCCCAGACAGGTGGCGTGTGCTCTGTGCAGCTCCTGCCCTGTGACCTTTGAGGCGGCATCAAGGGGTATAAAGAAGCAAAGTTTCTGGCAGTTGAGACCTCATATTTCTATCTTGTGGGTGACTTGATTTTCCCATAGCTGTGGACCTTTAATGAGTGAGGCCAGTCCCTCGGCTCTCAGCTCCCCCAGAGGAGCCCCTGCCCCTCTTTTCCAGAAAGCCCTTTCTGCAGAGTGTGGGTGAGGAACCCACAATACAGGAGGCGTTGCTGGGCAGAACGCTAGACAACCTGCAGACAGCATCCAGCACCTCACTGAAGGCTGTGCTGGTTCAACCCAGGCAGAGGTCATGACAGCCCCATCCACCACACCACTCCTCCTCCCCCGCTTATCATCCTTTGGAGATATTTAAGAATAGAACAAGTCTACTAAACTGTTTAGGGTGGCTTAGGGGGAGGGCATGGAATGAGAGCTAAGAGGTCTCTGGTTGGCTGTAGGGCCTTAGAAAACTCACTGCCCCACTCTGGTCTTGGGGCTCCTTGGTAAAATGAGAGGATAAGCCCTTCCCATCTTTGCTTTTCTAGGAAACTCTGACCCTAAACTATGGCTGGGCCCATGAGCCCCCATCTTGTACTGTGACTGCCTTTCTAATCTTGAGTCTGCAATAACCCATCCCTGTTACCAGGCTGAGCCTGCCTGTGGAAAATGGAAAGTGACAGAGCAGCGGCTACAGCTGGGGGTGGGGTGTTGAGTACCACGGAGGAGCTAGGACTTGGCTCCAGAATCACTCTCCTTCATGATGAATACAACCTAATTAAGCCAAATAATTGATTTCCAAGTCCCTATTTCTTTGAGAACTCCGACTCACTGGTTCAGACTACAAAAGAAAGATAAAGTAGAATCAAGCCCTTGAAAATGAATATTTGATGAGACAGTAAAGGGAAAGTAACAGTATATGGAAAACAAAAAGAGAATAAATTGATATGCTTTGGGTTTACTTTTTGCTTGACCTCGCAGGCCAGGCTCCCAGGAATGCCCCCTCCCCCATGCATGATCCCACCATTTTCTACTCAGCTGATCATTCTCTGTATCAAGAAGCTGAAAATGACACTCGTCTCGGCAACCTGAGATTTCAATAGTTCGCATTTATTTGAAATTGTTGCCGACACATTTAGCGCCCACATTTGAAATATCTTTATTAAAATGCATGCAAACCCCCACAGGGCTGACATTAAGTAAGCACCTCGTGTCCGCTGGTGCGATGCATTGTGCTTGGAGGCAATCCTCCCGCTCATCCTCAGAGCTCACATCCTGCCTTCTTTTCATTCCTGTTCTGGATGTTGAGCAAGAGCTTTGCTCCTGAAACTTGTATCTCCCATTTGTATAATCATAAAGAAATCTCCTCCAGCTGCCGGGAAGATAAATGGCATCATATCTGCAAAGCGCTCTGTATTTATCTTGCACCTTTCTTAAGGGATTTTCAAGTGCTGTGATCGTTTCTTTTTTATTAATGAGAACAGAGGGCATCATACTTGCTCACTTGTTTGGGGCTCAAAATAAGGCTGAGGGGAACAAGTTAACTGAAAAGGTGTCTTTCCCTGCTGGGATTCTTTCATGAATAAAAATTCATTGAGCCATCACAAGTGGCCTTTCCCAGCTGCGGCACCCGCCCCCTTCCCTCTCAGCCCAGAGCCACGTGTCATCATTGTTACCACACACAGGGTTGACCAGCACTCTTCACCAAGGCATTTTATTATGGAGGGCCAGGTTCAGATCATCTGCCAGAGATGTTAAATCTCCATTGGAACGTGACCCATTTCAGAGCAAAAAAAGACCTTACTGGAACACAGGCTTTCTGAAACAACAATCTCCCTGTGTGCTGGGGACAGGTATGCTGCTATTTCAGAGCCACTGTAAGCCTCCTGGAATCATTCACCTTCCCATTGTCCATGAACCCCATCTCCTCCCTTTGTTTATCTTCGTAGGAAAACTCGGACTAGCAGGGGAGCCAGTGTTCCTTCTTCATTTGTTCTGGATAAACAGTTATGCTCCCTGCGACTACTCTTTGGGCTGCTACATAAAGGAAGAAAGACACTCTATGAAGCCCTTTTATGTTTTCTCCTCTGACCTGGCCTATCAGTCAGGTTGTGTAAGTGGCATGCTTACCCAGGGAAGAAGCCAGTGATTATAATGTACCTTTCACCAACAGTAAAGGTTGTAACAGAAAAGTAGAACTCCTAAAATGAAGGTCTGTTAAATGAGAGCATTAGTAATCATCTGTTGTCACCTTCTGGTTAAGAAACACTTGAGTCAGAAGCCACAGTGGGCTCAACAACCAGGCATTTATTTATCTAAAATATTTCACCAGGGAAACCCTCGGTTGTGATTTCATTCAAGTGGATGCTGCAAGCAGAGAGACTGCCACCTGGAGTTAGGAGTAAGTACCTGGTGTGGACCCAAAGACGTTAGGTTGCTTATTACCTTTTGTCTCCTTCTTCCCCTAGTGTGGCCAAATGCTGAGATAGCAGCAGGATGGAGTGGAAACAACAGTTAGTTGGGTGTTAGGAGACCTGGTTTCGGGTCCTGGCTCTGCCCCTAGCCAGCTGTGTCTTGACTTCTCTGTCTTCGTTTTCTTATTTGCAAGAACAAGGTTAGACTGGATCAGCTTCCAAGCCTGCCTCCAGTGCTGACATGCTAAGATTGCTTAGGTCTAGGTCACATAATGGTAGTCATCAGTACCTGATTGTCTGGCCCTTGGTTAGTCATAAAGATCTTCAGTTGGCCTGCACAGGGAGTCCTAAGAAGCCCACGAAGAACCGAGCCCAGAGAATGGTAACAGAAGCTTTCCTTAGAACTGAAAGCATTAAGGTAGTTTAGTAGGTCTGAATCCTTCCTCAACTTCGTGGGTTTCCCATCTACTCCATAGGTGATGCTGGATAGAAAGTGATCTATTCCTCAGGTGGCTCGGCCCTTCTAGAAAAGACTGTATTGAGGGAGAATCACATCCTCCCCTGACCCCAAACCTCCATGTGTGCACAGATGCATAGTTGCAGCTTCTGCTCAGCCCCGTTACTCCACAGTGGAGACCCTCAACACTCATGAGAAGCAGAAGGGGGGGCTGCACTTCCAGGTCAGGAAGGCCATCTTGACCACCTACCTACCTCTTATCTCTGGAGCTCTGTCCTGCAGACACCCAGGAGAGTACTGGGTCTCTGCAACCCACTCCAAGGATGGGTGAGCAGTGGACACTGACTCACTTTGAAGTTATTAATATACAGCCCCCAGGCAGGTCCAGAATATTCATGGGGTCAGATCCTTGCTCAGTAAACATTGCTGCGGTTATGACTGCTGCAACAATGACTGGTTAAAGAAGGATCGAATGGCTCAAGTCCAGCCAGCCTCAGCCCTCTCCTTCACTCCATTACGCCTCATTACATGACCCCTTTCACAGAAGGGTTAGAGTCTGGCTGATAGAAGACAGTCTTTGAGCTAGGAGAGCTGGGGAGGAGAAAGGGGTTACAGAATCCCAGAAGGGTCTGCTCATGCCTCTACCTCTCCACAAGTCAGGTGCAAATGCCCATAGGAAGAATAAAGACCAAAGGAGACAGCTCAAAGCTAAAGCAGTATCAGATTTTTAGCTGTACTATCAGCTCCCAGACAAATTGCTAATAATGCATGACCATCGGTTCTTGGCAGTAAGGACATATTCTGCACACTGCCTCTTTCGCTGCTAACATAATATGATTTTCAGTGTGAAAAATGGCTGAAGCGCACAGAAATGGTCCAGTCAGAGCACCTCATTCACACACACACACACACACACACACACACACACAGTTAAGAAAGCTTTAATTATCTCTGCAGTAGGTCTTTTTGAAAATCAGGTATTCCAAACCAGAAGCTCTAAGCTGTTTCCCTTATGTTTTTGCATGGCTGACAGCAAAATTCAAGAAAGCTTATGAGAAGCTGGGAAAGGTGAATTCAGTGCATTGGGCCAGTTCAGTTTTGCAAGTTGAAATGTAAATTTATTTAGCAATTAATAACCAGACTTTTCTCCTCTTTACAGTGGCAGGGCCGAGCTGCTAGCTTCGACAGTGAGAGTTCGTGCCCATCTCCGAAGCCACCTCCGACACCATGAGTTGTGCGGCCAAATAACACAAATGGGACTCAGCAATGTTCTCTTTGCACTTGTTCAACCGTCTAAACAGTGCTGTGCAGTCGCAGTGGCGGCAGCAGTGGCAGCCGTCCGTCACTCCAGAGTCTTACCTGCTCCTGTGTAGGTCAAGGCTGAGACACTTGTCTTGTGGTCAGATCTGTCTTAGTCTTTTCTGTCTCCCAAGGTGATGTTTTTGTGGTTTTTCACTTTTTATGGGTCTACTGTTAAGAAAAGAAAAAAAAAAAAAAAAAGAGTAGGAAAAGACAAAGGGTGGAAAGCCCAGAAGTTGGTTCTAGAAAATACAATGTATAGTTTTTTGGAAAGAGGTGGATTGAGTTTCTGAAATGCTGTGTCTCCAGCAAGCTCCACAACCCTGGAAAAGGAGGACGCTCAGTGGGACTGCGGTTGCATTTTCAGTGCCCTGCAGGAATGAGGTGAATCCATGGAAGAGCCTTTGTGAGGCGAATTACTAGTCTTTGAAGCTCTTCGCTGGAGGGACAGAAACCACATTGGGACCATCAGTCCCATGTTGAAATCACAAGACCTCTGAGGCGCTTGTGAGCCTTCAGCTGAAGTGCAGGATTCCTTGCTGGTTTTCCCCATGAATTGAAAACGTCTTGATTCTTCATGGGAACTTAGTCACTTTCTTTAGGAACGATTCCGCCGAAACTAAACACGCCGTATGTTTTCTGATGCGCCACAGTTAATGATCATATTTGTTTGAAAACAGGATCTTTGTTCTCAGAAATAACCTTCATTGTAAAGTAAGAGAGACACATACGTTCTGGAATGATTTCTGCATTATACATAGCTTTATAATTCCATGAGGTATCAACTCTCTGTTTAAAATGCCTAAACAGATTAAAGAACAACCTAGATTAAATGTTCTTTTCCAGATGGGGAGTTTTGAAATCCAAGTAGCAGTCTGAGTCCATCTTTCCATGAAGAGTATCTTTTTGATTGAAACTGAGTGAGCGTAAGCCTATTTCAGCCCCTTTGGCTCTGGGACAATATTCATCTTAAACTTTAGTTCTATAAATTACTAAGTACTTCAGTGTTGTTTGTTTCAGTGGTTGTGAGGGTTTCTTGTTTCCTTTAGATCTCTACCTTAGGCCAAACTCAATTTAGGAAAAAAAAAAAATGGTTTGAACGATTCTGTGTTGTAATAGCACATTTCTGTTGAGTTAATAGTGTTCTTCGCACCAACCCCTAAAACCAGGTTGATTTGCTCAATCTCAGTTTGTGCAACCCCAGTAAGCGCATGGAGGTGAGTTTCTACTTTGACTTGTGGCAGCACAATGCCGGTTTCCAGAGCTGTGTGTACTACTTGCAAGAGGCAAGTCTGCTGAAGAACCCCTTCTTTTAACAGTGGAAAATCAAGAACAGAAAATCTGTTCACACATCCGTGTCTTATTCTTTATATACGTTACATGGTAGAGGAGCAGCGACCAATAAAGCATCCCTCACTTTAAACCAAGTTGTCAGATTTCTCTGCTGATAGAACTCTGCATAGTGTCTTCTAGCCCTAAAAATGACCAGGTTGGGCATGAGTTAACAGGATATTGTGGCAAAAGGAGTTTTCTGCTTAGAAAAGTAAATGTAGATAAACCTAAACTCCACCCTGTACTGAACCTTAGGCTAGGGACTCATGTGTAAAGATGACTTTTCTCCCCAGATATCTTGTGATTGACAGGCCTTCCTAGTCCGGCAGTCCTGCATTTGGGTGTTCTCTTGAGAGTGAGAAAAAAACCCAAGGTCATGACAAGATTCCTAGCAGGCGACAAACTTCATTGTGATTCTGACTCTAGACTGACCCCATCAAGATAGTCGTTTCCATCAGTGAACAGATGCTGTAGACCTTGCAATTACAAAGGGACAGCTGAGTTTCCTGGGTCATAAGGAGTCCAGAAATTAGTGTGAGAAGGCCCTTCTGGAAGTGAACTCAAAATGCACGTCCAGCTGTCATCATTAAACCCTTAGGCAGGTGAGGATAACCCATTCTAACCTCTTGGAGAAGGGAGTGTGATCAATGTGAATTGCAATAGTATGGCTCATCTGAGACATTCCTCTTATATCCAAGCAGCTATCTCCCATGAGTGAACATCCCAATGGTTTCAGAAAATCATCTTCTGAATAGATTCTAGCCAGACCCCACACCACCCTGGCCAACTGCAACCGCTGCTGCTCTGGCAGTCTGGGTCAATTCCTACAGGCCTGGGAGCCCACCCCAGGGAGGCTTTTAGCTCCTGCAGCCTCACCCCCAGCACCCTCAAGGTAGACTAGTCTTCAACCTGAATCATGAATGAGACCTGAACATCTGCCAACTTCATTATCTAGCCCAGTATCTCTTCCCTCACAGAGGAGAAAAAAATGAAATACAAAGTCGATCCATTTGTTGGCTTTCTCTGGCCGGAGAAGCCTCTCGGGTTGTTGCTGTGAGCTTTGATAAAGTTGTGATAACAAGGGCCATTTGCACATAGTTTTTAAAAAAATATATGGAAAGTTCCCTTCTCCTTTATTTAGCAGTGTTTCTGGGCTGAAAGATGCCCTCCTCCCCCTCTGCACTTACCCAGGACGTTAATTAATTGCATCGTCATTTAAAATATTATGTTGTTAATTACTGCTTCGAGTCTTCCCACCCCTGTCACAGCCTGGAGTTTTTATTCAATTAAATCTCTGTCTCTTGCCCATTTCTCTTGTCATTTTATGTTCCTGGGGTTTAGCAGTCAGCACACGCACAGGACGTCGCAAAGCTTTTCTTTTCCATCTTTGCTTCACATAGATAACCACTTGCCTTCTAACAGAGGTAGAGCAGAAGGGCTGGTTTGTTCTTTGTTCTGGCCGAGGAATACCTGTGTACCCCATCAGGCTGGAATCCACCTGTGTTTTGTCAGGCTTGTGGCTCGGAGATCATTTGGCACACGGGGCTCCGCTGTTCCCTCAGCTGTTCAGCTCAACAAGCAGCCCCTGCAGATGCTGAAGCTCCCCTAGGGAAGTGGGCCACACACTCACATCTGGGAAGTACGATGCTGTCACCCACTAGCAGAGGAATTCTGCTAACCATTGTAAAACACAATTTGCCAAAGCCATGGGAAAATACTGTTGCAACCTCAAAAAAAAAAAAAAAAAAAAAAAAAGAACATTCTAATATAATAGAATATCTTTCTGCTCGCCTGCAGCTTTTATTTTAGAGAGCAGTCCGTAGATTGGGGCGTGGAAGGGACCATCCATTCCTGCACGTCTGCATCTAAATGAGGGGTGCTCCACCATGAGAGGCCCAGTGAGCTGAACTGCTGAGAGCAGCACTCTCCTGCCTGAAGACGCAGCCTCCCCTTGCCAGTGGCTTCCCATCAGGTCACCCAGCAGCCAGAAGGATGAGGCAATGTGCTGGTCACATCTAGAGCTGATAAACCAAAGGGGTCATTGTGTCTGTTAGTATGGGCTGGGCTATGCTGCAATTACAACCTGCAGATTACAGTAGCTGAAAACAGCAAAGGCCTATCTCTCATCCATGATAGGCGCCCATCACAGGTCAGTTAGGAGCTTTGCTCATCTATCACAGGTCAGCTAGGAGCTTTTCTCATCGTATTTATTCAGGGGGACTCAGGAGGACAGAGTAACTGAAATCTCAAACACTGCTAGTTGCTACCCATGAGGGAAAAGAGTCCTTGGAAGGGTCTTCTACTGGCCTAAATGCTCTAGTAACACATCACTTTTCTTCACAGTCCATTGCCAGAACTGCTGATAGCGTCTCACAAAACATAAGAGGCTCGAGTTCCCCAGGGAAAGAAGAACTGGAAATACTGAGTTAGCATCACCTGGGAAGACCACAGTGAATGTAAACAGGCCTGTGGAGGCTGACAGCTACTGAACAATGGATTCAGAAACACTAACACAGGCATCCATGTGTTCTATTCATTGTTGAACGACTTGCCCACAGAAAGCTTTTAGTCTAGTACAATGGCACTGAGTAATGATAGTTCAAGGTAGAAAATGGAAGTGCAGTTACGGAGGTGAAGTAAAAGGCTATAGAGGTCCAAGAAAGAACATCCCAGCTCAGCAGAATGAGTGGCAGCTTCAGGGGCAAAGTGGCTCTGAGCTAGGCGTTGAGGCTGAGTGGGATTTGGAAGTGTGGAAGTTGTGGGGAGGAGGCACATTGCAAACTGAGGGCCCACACAAGTGAAGGTCCAGAGCTGGAATTCCTAGGGCTGCCACTACCCTGAATCTAGGGGAGACAGTGAACCCCCTGAGTTCAAGTGCTACCCTGCTTGCACTGGTCAGCCCAGGCAGAGTGCAGGACTTCTGCCCATGGAGCCCTGCTGTCCCTGGCCCTGAGCCCCACCCCACCAGACTCTAGACCTGGCCCCTGTGTAGCTCTTGCCAACTGCCTCCACTAGGACCTGGACCTGCTGCCCCACCCTCCATTGGTGGCTTGGCAACTGCTCCTCTGACTTTAAGACTCAGTCTAGCAGCCTCATCCCATCCACTTAACCAGCCTTTCCTCCCTGGGCTATTATTTCTCAGCCAGAAGCCATTTGGGACTTCATGATCTGTGTCATGTCCTGCTGTCCTGCAGGGTGAGCCCTATCCAGAGGTCTGATTCCTTAGTAGGGGGAACAGGACCAGCCTCTCCCCAGCTTTCCCTCGGCTGTTCATAGCAGCAAGCCCATGTGGAGAGACTGGAGGTGAAGAGATGGGCAGGCAATTGTGGTTGTCCGCTCAAGAGGGAGTGTAGGGCTGACCCAGACATAGGCAGGGCACCTGTATAACATGTGGTGGTCACAGACAGACGTGGCGGCTCACACCTGTAATCCCAGCACTTTGGGAGGCTGAGGTGGGAGGATTGCTTGAGCCCAGGAGTTTCAGACCAGCCTGGGCAACAGAGCAAGACCCCATCTCTATTTTTTAAAAATTTGATAGTCACAGAGGGAAAATGCAACACCGGTGACAGCTGAGCTCATCTGGAAGACAGAGAGAGGAAAGGGGGTTTCCCAAGTGTTGTATGTTTTTATACCTTGGAAACTAAGTGTTCTATGCCTTCCACAGAAACCAGAAATTCAGCAGAGCAAGAAAAAGTGATGAGTCCAGTTTGGGCCAAACTGAGTTTGAGATGCTGGAGGGATGTCTAGCAGACAGCTGCAGTTCAAGATGCATCCTGGCAGCGAGGTCAGGTGTGAGATGTTAGTTTCTGGAAACCTTACACCACAAAGCGATGTGAAGACAGGAGGCTGACGCTGTTAAGTACAAGTAGACGAGGGAGCCTAAAAAGAGGTTCTTCAGGAACCATCAGCATTTAGACATCAAGGGAAAAGAAAGTGATGTGAATCATCATGGAGAGGTGCCCAAGCAAGGCTGACTGATGCAAATGCTGATGAACAAAAACAGATCAATCAAGGGCTTCCTAAAATGATTCCTCATAACAAGCGAATCCAAGTTGCTTCAGTATAACTCAATTCACGAAAGTCCATTTTCACCCATGTTTGCAGGGCTCCAACTCTTTTTTCGTCTCCCATCAGCTTGGCCCTTGATGTTTCAAAAAGAACTGTGTAAAATACACATAACATAAAATTTACCATTTTTAATTGTATGGTTCAGAGGCATTAAGTACATTTACATTGTTGTGCTAACATCAACACCATCCATCCACAAAGGTCTTTTCATCTTGAAAAACTAAAACTCTACCAATTAAACACTAACACCTCATTCCTTCCTTCCCCCAGCCCCCGGCCACCACCATCCTACTTTCTGTCTTTATGAATTTGACTACTCTAAGTACTTCATATGAGTAGAATACACAGGCTTTTTCTTTTGTGGCTGGCTTATTTCACTTAGCATCATGTCCTCAACAGATGTTGTAGTATATGTCAGAATTTCCTTCTGTTCTAAGGCAAAATAATATTCCATTGTATGGATATGCCACAAGTTGTTTATCCATTTACTCACCAGTGGCTACTTGGGTGGGTTCTGTGTTTTAGCTATTATGAATGATGCTACTATTGTATGCTATAGGTGTACAAACATCTCTTTGAGACCCTGCTTTCAATTCTTTTACATGTATACCCAGAAACAATTGCTGGACTATACAGCAATTCTGTTTGTAATTTTTTTGAGGAACCACCATACTGTTTTCCATAGCAGCTGCACTATTTTATTACATTCCCATCAGCACTGCACAAGAATTCCAGTTCTCCACATCTTCACTAACCCTGGCTTTTATGATAGTAGCCATCCTAATGGGTGTGAAGTAGTATCTCATTGTGGTTTTGATTTGCATTTTCCTAATGGTTAGTGATGTTGACCATCTTTTCATGTGTTTAATGGCCATTTGTGTGTTTTCTTTGGAAAAAAGTCTACTTAAGTCCTTTGCCCATTTTGAACTGGGTTGTTTTTGTTGTTATTGTTGACTTGTAGGAGTTCTCTATACATTCTGGACATTAATCTTTTATCAGATATGTTATTTGAAAACATTATCTCCTATTCCATGGGCTGCATTTTAATATTGTTGACCATGTCCTTTGATACACAAAAGTTTTTAATTCTGATGAAGTCCAATTCGTCTTTTTTCTTCTATTACTTGTACCTTTGTATCCAGTAAATAATCACCAAATTCCATGTCATGAAGATTTCCTCTGTTTTCTTCTAAGAGTTTTACAGGTTTAGATCTTTACATTTAGGACTTTGATCCATTTTGAGTTAATTTTTCCATATAATGTAAGGTAAGGGTCCAACTTTATTCTTTTGCTTGTGGGTATACAGTTTTCCCATCATCATTTGTTGAAAAGACTGTCCTTTCCCCCACTGAATGGTCCTGATACTCTTGTCAAAATCATTTGACCATATACGCAAAGGTTTATTACTAAGATCTCTGTTCTAATTATTTGGTCTATATGTTTGTCTTTATGCCAGTTCCATACTGTTTGGATTACTGTAGCTTCAAAGTAAGCTTTGAAAACAGGAAGGGTGAGTCCTTCAACTTTGTTCTTTTTCAAAATTGTTTTGGCTATGTAGGGTTCCCTGAGATTCCATATGAATTTTAGGATGAATTTTTCAATTTCTTTAAAAAACATCATTGGGATTTTAATAGAAATTGCCTTGAATATGTGGGTTACTTTGGGTAATATTGGCAGGAACCCAACTCTTGAAGACACTATAATCACTCCACAAGGTGCCATTTGCTGACATTCTGTCCATAAATCCACCTCTGCTCTGAGAACCCTACTGATATATACATGTTGTGATCCTTGGTAAAAAACCAAGTACATATGGAGGTCAAAACTAGCTAACCAGACCTTTTACACCAAACTCAACTCTTACCAATTCCCTGTGAAAGTCATCTCCCACAACTGCAAATGTCCTGGCCCAATTCCCAACCGAACAACAGAACTGAATCCTGAAGCCCAGCTTCTCTCTCCTGCCCTACCTCAGCCCCAGAATGCTCAAGAACTTCAACTGGGCTTACTCACATTATGGCAGGCTCACCTCTTTTGCTACATACACATGGGTATTTACTCATCTATTCACTCAAAACACATGTGTTGAGCATCTAATGTATATCAGGTATCATGTTAGAGATGAGGACATGCAAATTTAATAATAATAATAACTAACATACACTAAGCAGTGACTATATGCCAGGCATTGTTCTAAGTGCTTTACATGCAAAATCTCACCTAATTCTCCCTCCAGCCCT